GCCGCCGAGCCGCCGCCGGGATATAGTGCGGCGAGCGCGGCCGCAGTCACTTCGCGAGCAGCGCGCGGGCTGCGGCGCCGGCACCCGAGCGGCGCGGGCTCCACGGGCGGCCGTGCAGCGGAAGGGTCTCTCCGGGCTGGACTAATAACTTTGGGATTGTCCGCCGGTGTCACGTCTGAACATGAGCCTCCTCCTCTCCTTCTACCTGCTCGGGTTGCTTGTCAGTCGCGGGCAAGGTAGGAGTGCGGTGCTTTATTGCATTTACTTCCCCCCTAAACCCAACCCAGAGAGGCAAAGCGGAAGGCACAGGAGGAAGAAAATTAAAGAGAAAAAAAGAAAAGAACTAAAGTTATAGGACTGTTGTGATCTTTATTATTTTAGCTCTATCTTTTGGCTGTTCCTAATATTGTCTGTGTTTCGTGGAGACCCTTCAATGAGAGAAGAAAAAATGCAGATTTGCAGATGGGCATCAGTGAGCCGGAGAGCCAAGCAAACTGCTTTTTCTTCCTTCCTTCTCTTCTTTCTTTCTTTCTTTGATTTTTTTTTCCCTGGGATTTTAGCTTTTTCTGATATTCATTTTCAAAAAAAAAATTGAATGAGTCTGTTGGTGTGTGTTGATACTTAAACATGAGAGGGGTGTTGAAGGAAAGGGTATTAAGATGTTTTACAGAAGCAGTACAAACTATAAGCTTTAAACTCGTTTGTAAAATATTCCTGTTGTGTGCAAGAAATTCAATTCTTAGGGACTTTTTTTTCCCTCTTTCTCAAGACCAATTTCTGAGAAGAAGTGATGATGGCATATTTATGTTGGAAACTAAGAGGGGGCACAGAGGTTGTGTGTAAGAAAGCAAAAGGATGAGATTGGCGATGTGTTGCAGTCTTTCATTTCAGAGCCCCCAGCTCCTCCTCGTTAATATCGAAAACCAGACCTGTATCAGAACGGGAGATTGTAATTACTCTTCCAAGGGATTTTAGGGGTATGGACAACTGGTGGGAGCTTTTATGTCTTGGGGGTGGGGTGGGGAAGACTGGCTTCGTAAAATAACCCGAGGGAGAATTGGAAGAGCTATCTCTGCCGATCTGGGTGGAGGTAGATATGGATTTATCTTCCTTGTATAGATAGCACATAGGCACATGAAATATTTTTGCGATAGATGGAAACAATTTCAACTGTCCACACAAGTTTGGACATGTAATTGGGGAGACAAAATGCTAAAACATGCATTGTGGAAATCTTCAAAAGAGGTGATGGTAGTGACCCTGTGATGCATAATAACTGCAGAAAATGATGCATTACCAGTGTAGCATGAATTTTTAAATAAAATAATAAATTGCAAGATAAGTTAAAATATCTTCACTATATCGATTTTAAGCCTTTCTGGCGTCTTCTGTGTTGCCACTTTTGGCCAGCAGGGGGTGGTAGAACTCCATTTTAAGCCCAGAAACGGTGGTTTGTGCTCTTACAGTCTTTCTATCATTCTTCGGCAGGGCTTGACATTTTGGATGTGAAATCTTCCTTTCTCTGTCCTTCTCCTCCCCAAAGCTATAGTATTAGGGGCTGACACAACGCGACTGAACGCAGATTGTTTGTTCGGAGATAAATGCAAGCGCTGCATATTGCTATAGTTTAGAAAGTGTCTTAGTAAAATGACTCTCCTTTTCCAGGAAGAGAACAGAGCTTGCTATGTTACAGTCTTAGAGAAATTGCAGATACATTCATCTGGAGCTAGCATTGGACCATTCTACTATTCAGACACCCTTGTGCAAAGATGGATGCACACCTAGTCCCTACTGTTTTAGTTTTGCTGATCTGCTAATTGTGTTTAAGTGTGCCTTTGTAGTAGGGGAAAATATTTCACAATAATGAGAAACAGGCTTTGAAAATTGCAATTAAAATACAACTGCAATTAAATAAGTGTAAGTGGTGTGGAGAAATATAAATCATAAAAAAGCGAGTGTATGCAGACTTATGATTGCATTATGAGTTATTTGCCAAAGAAAAATGTCTCACTCATGGATTCTGGGCATTTATCATTCCAGACACTAATTGTGTTGGAATTTAGAGATAGAAGGATCATCTAGGAATGTATAAATTCTGGATTTACATGGTATGTCCCGGCAAGCATAATTTGGGTGTGTATATATCACATATATTTGAAATTGTGTTTTGGCTAATCTCTTACCAGAATTTGAAGTGGTTATAAAGGAGGACTCTGAAAAGGCAGCATGCCTACAGGGGAGCCCATGTTCACTCCTAATGAAGCAGGGTAGGCAGACAGCATCCTTGTGAAGAAGATCTCTCTATCTAGGACAGTTTCAAAATACATGGCTCTCACTGAGGCATAGGTGCATGTTATAGGGACCCGGCTTTGGTGAGAACACACATGTAGGACTTGTTTGCCATGTGCCTTAATGAGGTCAGAGACGCTTGGCTTGGAAATAGAAATCCTAGTCCTGGAGTCTAATTCTTTCACGCTGCTGTTTTGTTCTCTGATTAAGGATGCAGCAGCGAATATCAGACACACCACTGGGAGCTGTCCCCTCTCAGGGTCGGGGGTGGCGAGTGAACCTAGTGGAACTCATAATTTTGTTTTTTCTTTTTTAAATGGGACCATGGAGAAGCCAGCATCCAGTGATCTCTGGGCTTGCCTAGAAACCCTGAAACCCAGCTTGCTGATTTATGCTTCCAACAATATACTTGCAGGGGATTTTATGAAGCATGATTGAAGCGGCAGCTTGGGAAAGTGGTGTGCCGTTAGACTGGGGAAAGGCAACGATTATGTATTCCCTTTTAAGTAGTCAAAACGTTTTGAACCAGAGCAGTTGAAAGGGAGAAAATGATAGGAGTGCAAAACTGACTTAAGTGGATGCCAATACCATAATCAGCTAACGAGGCCTAATAGTTGGACTCCCAACTTTCAACACTATGCTATTGTTCTACTGTACTGAGAGCTCTTTAGTATAGCAGAAAGGCTCTTTTAAAAGCCACTGGCTTCTGCTGCAAGCTTAGGACCTAATGAAGGAAGGCTGGAATTTGTCAGGTTTGATTTTCACTGTCCGTGAAGGGGATATTCTAGAATATTGCTACTTTTGCAATTATTTTTGCTTTCTGTTCAAAATCTGGTCACAGCCTCTGTCATCATAAATGTCAAGTGATAACGTGGGTCTCAGATTAACAGTATATTGCTGTTTGCAATTTTATCAATACAAATTCTCAAGCTGTAGTATGTAAGGGTTTCCTGAAACTTTTTAAATGGTTAAAATGATTTTCCTGTTCTTCTAAAAAACCACCCAAGAATGATAAATCTCCACTTGTTCACATGTACAGAATAAAATCACAGTTGTGCTAAAACCTAAGGTTAGGAACAGTGCTGTTCATCTCTCTTGCAGTCAACTCTACAGAGTTAGAACACTTAAGCCAAAATCATGGGGTGGGAAGTGGATGAAGGGTTCAGTGCGTCAGTGAAGCCAAGCATCTGCTTCCCATTTTGCTTTCTGGGTGACTGTTTTTAAGTCATTGTTCAGTAGAGACATGGACCTTCTAAAATTAGAGCCCAGGTGTGCAAGGCCCATCAAGGAGCGTTCTCCAAACTCATCCTCCCTCTAGGTTGCTCAGAGTTGCAACCTCTCTCAAGTCTTTTCTTTGTGTTATTGTCTTTTTTTTTTCTGCCAGCCTTGCTGTGCAGTGTTACCTTTGAATCAACCGCATATTCATTTGTGCTTAGAGAAGACAGGCTACATGAGTTAGTGTCCTCACTGTCAATGAACCACCCTGAGGATTCCTGCCCTGCTTTATGTCAGAGGAGCTAAGCAGATGTTTTTCTCACTTTCGTTTCTTGCGCTCCATTAGCTGATGCAAAAGGAAGAGAGGTTGGTGGACCCAAGTGTGCATGAGTGTTTTTCCGTGACACGGGGGGTTAATGTTCTCCCAGAGGTTATATCCTACTAGACAAGCAATGAATGGGACAAAAGAACCCCATTCAGTATTATAAAAATGGCAGACTTGATAAAATGCTGTAAATAAAATGCTCTTTCCAAAACCGAGCTCGTTGGTTGTGTGGTCAAGAGGGAGCTGGGGAGTTGGAACCTAGTGACCAAGCCCAACAGTGGCCTTTGCTCATGCCTGGTTGCTGATGAGGGGCAGCGTGAGGAGCAGCACATGAGAGCCAAAGCCTGGGCACTGCAACTAGCTCTGCAGCTTCCTCTGGCTCTCGGCACCTGGGAAATCATTTTAGCTCATCTGTTTTCAGGGTCGTCTCTCATATCCTTGAACTTTTGAGATCAGGAGGAAAGGTACTTGACAAGTGGTAGAAGGACTGGAATTGTTTTTATTTGCCTTGAAATAACATTAATCCATTGGGGGTTGGTGTATGCAAAATTAATGGAATAATTTTCATGTCCTTATGAAGGGAATGTGACTATTTTTCAATTTTTTATTGACCTAAAATCTAAATTTCCTGCAGTCTTTATACCCTCCCAGTTATTTGGAGGATAAGCCTATTTAGAATATTACAAATTAGTTTTAATTTTCCAAATTACATAATAGGGAAACACTTCTTAAAATACAACCAGTGCTGTATTAATTCTAATATTTCTGAATTTATTAAGTGAAGGGATCTTTAATTGTTCAGCCAATAAAAATACTTCACCACGGCACACTTTAAAATACTTTAATAATTCTTAATTATTTATAACTATGATAGTGATACTGTCATCCCAAATAGCAACATATTTCTCAGTTTCACATGTTAATTTTTTCAACGAGAAATTCACCAAATATCAAAAGAAAATTTAGAAAGTTACGATGTAATGAAACAGATTTCTTTGAACTTAAATAAGCGTAATGATGTAGAACTTTGGGAACATTTATAGATGGGATTTTGAAGAACATTATTATTTTTTTTTTCTGTATTTAGGACACAGTCTACAGGGTCTCACTGCCTAGATCGGACTCCTAGTGGTCTGCTTGTGTTCAGTCTCCCAAGAGCTGGGATTACAGGCGTATACCACCACGCCCAGTCTGCGTTGCCCTCTCAGCGCTCC